CAACATCCTAAGCGAATTTGATTATTATTTGATTGGCAATTTCTTCTTATACTTTTCTTTTTTTTTCTCTCTCTTTTTTTAAGTATTTCACCCCAAACAAGGCGGGAGTGCCACTATCACGCAAGGGGTTACAGAGAGTGAAAGTAAGAGTCAAGAACGGTTTTGAGGAAATGATAAAGAGAATGACGGCGATCAAGCTCAGGGTATCAGAAGATGTCGATTGACATTACATTTAAAGTTTGGAAGATTATAGTTATCAGGTAAGCAAGAAAGAGGAAGGGAGTTCCACTGTCGGGAAGTGCGAGAGAAGCTGTTGGTGTAGAAGAGGCGGTTACATTTAACTGTTTCGTCATTAAAAGGGTAGGGCCGTGATGCTAGCCTACTAGCAGGCTTAAATTCATGCAGTTGGTGCACCAGTGAAAATAGCTCGTCAGAGCAATTGCCATGAAAATATTTGTAGAAAAGACAGAGGGAAAGCACATCAAGTCTGTGAGTCCCAAAGTGGCTGGAGTCGAGATTCCAGGTCAGGACATTGCATATCCGTCTTTGGATTTTGTCGAGAACCTCGAGATGAACAGCGGTGGTATCAGACCATATATGGCAACAGTGTTCAATGTAAGGAAGAATAGTAGATTTGAAGATGTGAACGATGAACTCAGATGAGAAAAACTTTTGAGCGCGACACAGAGAACCAGCTTTCTTTGCGGTAGATGACGCTACTGATTCAATGTATTTGTTCCACCTGAGGTCAGTGGAAAACGTGAGACCAAGAAGGCGAAGAGAGTCGCTCTCGTCAAGTTGAGCATCACCCATACTGATTGTGATTTAAATGCAATAAATATTTTCTAATATATCAAGGAATTCAGCACATCTTTTTTCGTTAAACCAGGTCAAAACTGTTTGTTAGGAAGCGAAGCTCAAAATTCTTATTATATACTTGCTAAACTTTCCTAGCTACTATCGTTACATGTATCCATTGCTAGTCAACTGCTAAGAAAGTTAATTCACTGTGTCGTACGAGACAATTTTTCTCTCAAAAATCTGCCATACATCCCTGTTTCGAATATTGCTGCTAGACATGCTCTGGTGCCAACTGCTATTTACCGTGAGCTCCTTAATAAAATCTCAAGAATCGTCAGCAATATTATCGGTCCTAATATGGTGGTTCGGATTCACTTTCCTACCGCCGTAAAGCAGCCTCTCTGTGCCTTTTCTATAAATACTTTCATGGTAACTATTCGAATGGGCTATTCGCTATGGTACCTAGACTTTTTGAATTTAAGTGCATTAGTAGACTTTAATTATAAGACAGATGAAAATCATCTTTTCCCCATTTCCCATTTTAGCGTTGTGTCACATTTTTTATTTTTCGCAAATAAATATTGTTCGTCTAGATTTTTCGAATTTAAGCGCAGTACGAGACTGGCATTGAGATCTCGTCAATTTACAGTTAACTTTGCTATATATAGCCGTAAATTATATGCTAAAATTTTTCTCGCACTTTTCGCTTGTGGAACTCCCTTCCGACTCCATGCATTCTAGCTAAATTTAACTTGCAAAAATTTAAATGCAATATCAATAGCTGTCTACTATTTTCCTGATTACTCTTTTCTCTTTCTGCTCGTTAATAATGTTTCTGTTTCTAATTCTTCCAGACCGGGTAATTTTTTGTGTCTTGGTGGCTTTAATGCCTTGCTTGGAGTGAAACCGATTAAAAAATTATATTACATAATTACGCTTTCTTAAGGATCAGTTATTTTTTTTTTTTTATTTACGTTGGGTTCTACAAGAACGACAACACCCACTATCTGCTTTATCGTTTTAGTTTGGGACGAATCAATATGATTTCTTTGTACTGATTATTTTATTAGATTTCTCAAAACAGAGGTCACTGAAAATATTTGCATCTTCCTAATATTCACGAAAGTTGCTGTAAAAGTATTTGTTACTCATTATGCTGGTAGACGATGTTTTCGTCTTGCTACAGGTAGCAGTGTATGGTGAAATGCGTCCGACAAGAAAGTGAGTACGAAGCAGAGCTCTGTCAGTCTATCTAGACATGTAAGAAAGATTATATAGATTACAACCATTAAGATTCAACGACGCTTGCTGAAAGTTTACAGAGGGACCGAACAGTGTGTATAAAGACAAGAAATGCAGAATTAATGTTTTGTGAATGAATAGCGAATTGAAGCTAAAACCATGGTCTATCGAAAGCTGTTATTTTGTCATATATATATATATATATATATATATATATATATATATATACGGAACTGTCATATAGCCTGACGTGCTTTACCGATTTAGCCACAGTAAAAAGAATAAAAACAAACAAACAAAGAAACAAAAAAAAACGCAGTAAAATCGACATTGCTAACTGAAACGCTCCTCTTTTTCATTCATCTAAAGTATAGGATACAGGTTTGATTCCTCTCGGAGGACGCATATCTTCTATGAAAATTTCTTGGACATTCAGGCCGGTAAATGTCGTTAATACTTATTATTATAAACAGAGCATTTACTTAAATATTTGTATCTATAAAAAGAACGTATAAACATAAAAAAAAATCTTTGTCCATTTCATAATGTGTTACGTCATTTGGATACGCAGATATGAATGTGCGAGAAAAATCATGGAGAATTGTAGTTTAAAAACAGTAAAATCGACATGGTAAACCAAAACGCTCCTCTATGGCTGAATCGGTAAAGCACGTCAGGCTATATGACGGTCCCGTATAGGATACAGGCTCGATTCCTGTAAGAGGACGCATATTTTCTATGAAAATTTCTCGGACATTCAGGCCAGGAAATGTCGTTAAAACTGTTTATTATAAACAGAGCATTTACCTAAATATTTGTATGTATAGAAGAACGTATAAACATAAAGAAAAGTCTTGATATTTGTGTGTGTTTGTGTTTTTAATCACTTTAACTGAAAACTGCATTCTGAAGCGTAATATATCCAATAGAAGAGGAAATTATTGCTGCTACCATGCTTTCCAACTATTACTTGTTTCTTTTAGGCCAAATTTAACGGCTGACCTTTATGTGGAAACGTCAACCTTTGAATGTCTACGTTTTAGAGGGAAAATTAAGCCAGTGGATCGAAACGTGCTACTATAGAATAAAAATGTATACAGAGATATTACGAAAATTCAAAGAATAAAAAAAAAAACAATGAAGCTAATCTAAAATAATTAACAAGACGTAAAGTTAAAGATGATTATGTTGAGCCATAAAACTAACAGTCTCTGTACAGTGTTAATTTCTATGTCACTACTGTCTACATCTATCTACCTATTCACGGTTAAAATAAATCTATTTTTTATTCCATTTCAAATTCATTAGCTTTTATATGTCTAGAGCGATATTCAATAACATGAAATAGTAATGGCGCCAGACAGCACATTCATTCAAGGAAGGTCGGACAACAAACTTGGGTAAAAAAAATGTTCCCCTACAAGAAAAACAAAAACAAAAAACGAAATCAAAACAACAATAGCAACAAGTAGCAATAATAAAAAAAAAAAAAAAAACATTATCAGAAAATTAAAATAGAATGTCTCTTTTGTTATATACTAAAACTTGCATGGATCTAGATTTCTGGGTTTTAAAAAAGACGCGGCCTTTCAATTTGAAATACTGAGGCAATCCTCCTTAATTTCAATTAGCCTTGTACCAGACTAAGATAAATTGAATAAATATCTGTTTGCACACTTAAAAACTGTATATTGGCGATATACTTTCAAGTTAAGTTGCGCTGTGTACAATGTTTGAATCATTTTCAAATTTAAATATCGAGCATTTAACTTTGTTCCAGTCTTCAGTTTTGAATATTTTGGTGGTATACAATGTTCATATTGTTGCAGTTTTTTTGGATATATGTACTAGTGAGCCAGTCAAAATGAGTTGACTCATTTTATAGTCCACCAAGAGAATGGTTAACCAATCAGTAGACGTAAAATATTCAATCCGTCGTGTATAAACTCGGCCATTTTGTTTATTCTCTCCGAATGTCCAGTGTCAACTTGTCAGGCGAAAGAACAGTAGGAAGAACTACTAAACTACGCTCTGCTACTTTACCGGGATATCCACTGCTAACCTGAACTACGCTTCCCTACTGTCTTCGAAATATTCACTGCTAACCTCTGGATTCTATACTCAAAGACGACCGTCATCATGAACAACACAGATGACGTCCATTTTTTTTCCAGTTTTGTTAGTTACACAGTTTCACTCATTTCCAGCTAGGAAACACCATGTTACCCAAAACGGAGTTGAATTATCCTCGTTTTTTATGCGTTCAAATCAAGGGTCATTTTTTATATATCCTACTTATCCTCCTAATCTTCACTTTCTGCCATTTCCGCTTATTCACAGATTTACCATTTTTCCAACCTCTCTGAAATGCTCTTCAAGAACTGTTACAGATTATCACATAATTTTTTCATTTATTTTCGGGGTAACCAAATGAATGCTTTTTCCTTGCTTATCCTCATAATTTTTTTTATTCTTACTATGTTTTTCATTCCTCTAATTTCTCTTAACCGTTTTAATAGTAAATGCTACATTTTGTGGCTCACAAGATCAGTTTCGAATAATTTAAATATAAAAAATATAACCTTCCTTCATACAGGTATTGCTTAATGCGAGCTTTTCATAAACATTGATTAGCAATTGCGCATTATTTTTGAAAGCGGTTTTAGTCTGGAATTAACTCTTAAATCTATTTTTATTGATTTCTTTTCCACGGCTTTTCAACGGGTTATTTAAAGCCAGAATATATTTATAGACTGTAAGATTTTTTTGTAGATAATAATTGTTTAGTAATACACGTCTTACAATTAACCCATAGCTGGAGAAGAAGAGTTGGATTCATATCTTTCCTAAGGGTATTTGCGCGCAAGTGAATATAACGAAACCATTGGGAATTGGATCTCCACTCTCCATTTAACTATTACGAGCCATTATCCATTACACCAAAGGTAGTTCTAAACCTACAGCACCTGATACTCCTAAGCGGTCACCCATCTAAGTAGTGACGACGCTCGACGTTGCTTAACTTTGGTAATCGTACGGTACCGGTGTTTCAACGTGTTATGGTCGTAAGAAAAAGAATTGTATCTAAATACGCTTATTAAAATATTTTTTTTTTTAAATTCCATGATCTGTAACTTTTAAATAAGACTGTCTTCTTCTATAAAAGCAGTTACAAAGTAAAATTCAGTCGAAAATTCATAAAACAGACAACGCAATTTGTACTACTACAGCTTCAGTTGTTTAACTGTGACATGCGCATCACTTGTGGGTCAGCCTTGGGAATAAAAGATATCCGTGACTAGATTGCTATGCTACAGGCAGCAAGCGAGAACTTCACACACAAGAAACTTGGAAGCGAGCAACAATTATGTCGGCCATTGATAGAATCTATAGTTGCTTATTTCATGCCCACTGTTCTTGGAATTGCCTCTGCAAATAGCGGATATCAGAGCGCTGCCGACCGAGCTAACATGGGTGAAGGTAATTCATTCCAAGTGAATTACGTCTAACAGCAGGTTGAGAGATAATGGCTAACCTTTTGCTTCGAGATCGAAGTGAATTTCTGCGCCTTGACGCACCTTAAAGAAAGAAAAAAAAAGAAGAAAGATTTGAACCTATAGGATTCCATTCAGATGATGTAACCTTAAATTTCGATCCGGATTTTCAATTCTATAGCGCGTATTGTTAAGAAGCGTCTTTCTCTGACGGATCTTTATCTCAATTCTAGTTTATTATTTCCTCTTTGTACTCGAACCTGTTTTTATCTCTTGTGACCAATTGTAACGCACAATGCACTAGGTTTATCGACGCTTGATGATTGGACTATGTTTATTAGATTACACAAACCCTGTCAGTTGATACTTGAACGCCTAATTCATCGTAGAATACGCGTTTGTATCAGTTTACACATTTCTCTATTTCAGCACATATTTAAAACTTCTTCGATAAAAGATTCTGGTTTACTATAGTGTGATAATACACATTATTTCAGAAAGCCAATGTTAGGCAAAGGAGTGAATTTTAATTACTACCTAATAGCCATTCTATCAACATAGAAAATAAAGATAGCTTACATCTGTAAAGTTTCTGTACAAATAACATTTTCAGCAATACACATTAGTTTTACGGCCGTATCAATTTTGAGACATCGGTTTTCGTACGATCACCGAAGTTAAGGAGCGTCGAGCCTGCTCATTACCAAGATGGGTGACCACTTGGGTAATACCAGATGCTGTAAGCTTGGATGTGAGGTAGTGTAATAGACAATACTTTGGAAATGGAATTAGGCTCTCCGATTTTAAATTCCAGCCTGGTATGTTATATTTACTTACATATAAATACCCCTGGGAAAGGTATGAATCCAGATTTTCACCCACCTAGCTATGGGTTAATCGGTAGAGCTTATGCCAGTACATTATGCTTGTCTAAAAAAAAAACCAACAAAACAATAATTACAATCTAAAACTATTTTCTTCCTTTAAATAACCTGCAAAATGTTCATAAGCCGTAAAAAGCAAATCAATCAAGTAATACATCTATTTTAAAAATTTATTTTTTAAATTCCTCTTGACTTTCCTACTATGCACATAGCTACATATAGTTGATCATGAAAGGAGCATCTGAATAATTACTTAATGTTTATATTAATAATAAACTTTTAGCAACGTGATTATTTTTTCTACTTGTTTAAATCATTCGGTACAGTTTTAGGAAAATCTAATTTAACACATTATTTTGACTTATTTACATAATTCCATATTTTAGGAATAAAAACAACATTTAGAATCAGCAAAAAGTGTAAATAATAAAGAAAGAGGTTGGATAATTTGATAATCACAGCTTATATTGAAGGTAAGAGAGGCAGAGGGAGAGAAAGAATAAGGGGATGAATACTGCTTAGATCTATAATAGTAAGTTTTGGAGGGACGTGATCAGCATCATCCTCAAGGGGTGCAGCACATAATGGCTTATACATTTTATTATTGCATTATTTTCCTAGAAATGAGGTTCTTGGAAAATATATCCCCAAAATATCTTATTTGTATAGCATTCATTTATTTGATGGTTTGTAAATTTGACATTCTAGTAGATTGTTAAGACACCAACAAAGATATGTAATCAGTCCACCTATATGGCAGTGGAAGCTGGACAAACTTATCATAGATGAAGAAAAGACCTACAGCAACCGAAATGTGGTTTTACACAAGGATACTGTTAATACTATGGACCGAACATCTAAGAAACTGCAAAATTCTAGAGAAAATGCAAAGAAGAAGGACACATATACTTAACATCTGAAACAGACAGCTGAAATTTCAAAGGTACATAATGAGGAAAGTGCGCTTGAAAAACTGGATACTCACAGGACAGATTGAAGGTAAGAGGAAGAGAATAAAAAAAGGCATAAGCTACCTAGCGAGCGTGGGTAAATGGGTGGGGGAATAAGGTTTAGGAGATATAACAAAAAGACAAAATTTATTAAGAGTTTCAAATTATAGGGAATTGTTGGAATCCAAAATCACCAATATTCTGAAAGAACACTGCACATTGAAGAAGATGTTTAGTGGCTTGTAAATTTTGCTATCGTTATATAATGTCATATATATATATTAAAAACGTATTAAATGTTTATATCACTCTTGTTCTGTTATACATCAAACAATCCTATTTTCTCGTAAACGATTTTATCCTGTTACTAAAATAACCTGAATAGCAATACATATTGATTATTAGTTAAAGATGTAATTTAATATAAAAAAAAATATTAGGAATATCTATGACAAAGTGGAAAAATATTCGTATTACGCGATTCGTCATTTAAGACTTAACAGGATTAAAGCGATGTCTACATTGATATGATTACATATGCTCATGAAGGGACACTGAAATTATTATTATTGTTTTAAATATAAGATTTGGGTACAGAATTTTTGACATAGCTTTTCCTAAAATTGTAATTGATTTCTACCCATTTATATATCGTTTTATAAATATGTATTTCGGGTATATAGTTTTTGCTATAGATTTTCCTAAAATTTTACTTGATGTATACGCATTTATGTATCGTTTGTTAATTTTGTGTTTCGGGTATATAGTTTTAGATATAGGTTTTCTTAAAATTATACCTTCATGAAGCAACCCTATTTTGTCGTAAACGATTTTACTCTAAATAATTTTGTCTCTAAATAAATTGAATAGCGAAAGATGTTAAATAATACGTAAGGAAATTATCTTATATAAATATATCAGGAAAATCTATGTAAAATTTAACATTTTGATGCAAGTAGATGGCAGGAAATAAAAAACTGGAAGAGAGTTCCGCGGATGAGAAGTTCGAGAGAAGAAACTATTAGACCAGAAGTTAAGGTTACATCTAGGTATTTCGACAGTAAAACAGTTAGACCTAATTGCCAATCTAGCAGCACATTTAAATTAATGCATCCCAGATACCGAATAGGATAGCTCATTAGATCAATTGCCTTAAAAATATTTCTTGAAAGACAGAAGGAAGTTACATCGCGGCGGCGGTAAAGTAACTGCAAACGACATGCCAGATCAGGTCTGATAGCATTACTGACCCTACTTTAGATTTTGTCTGGAATCTCGAGATATATAGCAAGATCAGCAGATGAGATATAATAGCAATATTCAATGCACGGATGAATGCTAGATTCATGTCCAATCATTTACAAGGGAAAGCTGAATGAACACCTTCCTTTTATATTGCTAGATTGTTAAAGGGCAAGAGAAATATGCATTCTCTCATAATCAACTCAAAATATCAAAAAAATTTAATCACCGAAACCTTCATCCACAGAAAGCTTTATTATGCCTCAATTAGGACATGGCTTATTGGAAACTAGAGAAACCTTTGTTGTATTGTTAGATATTTATTTTCAACAACTAGCGTGTCAATGGACAATCACATCATAGATTCGTAGCTTTGATGAACAGGACGTGTGGGTAGCGTTTATCGTCGCGTAAACTGGATGTGCCGAGTTCAAATTCAGCCAAAGTTCGTTGTGTTTACTTTAAAACAAGAAATGTGTTTATCATCTTTTTACCTTCTAGTTATAGTCTAAATTTCAGCACAGACTATGTCCTGTAGCGTCGAATAAATGTGCGGGTAGCGTAGCTGTTATCGGTGCGTAAAGAGCAATCGACGTGCCGAGTTCAAATTCACCCGGAGTTCGTTGGGTTTAGTTTAAAACAAATACCCTTGGGAAAGGTGTTTATCATCTCTTTTCCGTTTTGCTATGGGCTAAATTGTAGCACAAACTATGTTCTGTAGCCTCGATTGGCAGAAGTACAACTTTGAAATCAAGTACATCCAGTAAAAAAAATAAACGAAAAAAAAACATAACAATTTACTTACTACAGAAAACAACATCAATATCTAAAGAAGAGAGGTTATGTTCCTATAATCCACTTTAAAGTCTATTTACACTATGGAGGTGGATTAAAATTGTCATAGCCTAGGATAACATTTCAAGTAGTCCTTAAATAATTAACCCTGAAATAAATGAAGTTACTGAGTTGGTGAAAGTGAACAATCTTCATACTGAATACAGGACCATTTGTTTCGATCATTAGATAAGAATCATATTGTCATGACATTCAGAAATAAGTCGGGCATCTTTCCGTTTCCCTTCCATTAAATCTTTGAAAGTATCATCTTGGCAAATGGAAATATTTCATTTATGTCGATCCACTGATAGCGATGATGTCAGTAACTTATAAACATTTATCTTAATTACATTTAAGTATGGTTTTGTCATTATACAGCGTGACTTCAAAAACTTTGCATCATTTAAGATGTGAATATCTTAGTAACTATATGTCTCAGGCAAAATTAAATAAGCTTCATGTTGGACAATAACAGATTTCTTTATCAAAATTCGATCAAAATATTTCAAATGGATGTAGATTTTATAACCGATTTCACAAAGCTTCAAAAAATGTTCAACATGCGCGCCACCTGTGAGTCCAGCTCGTGCCAAATAAGTTGTAGCATGTCTTGCGTAATATTCTCAAGCGCCTAAGTGATGACTTATCTCGATGAGAATCTATCAGTGAAATGGATCTGGCGTGTCAGTGATAATGACAATGTCTTATTGAAATGATCACCACGATCGCCTGACTTGAAAACTTGTTTCTTTTGCTTCTATGGGACTATATGAAATGACAGATCTATATCCTCCCCTCTTCCTACAATCATAGAGGAACTTAAGCAGAGAATCACAAGTTCTGGTCATTATTACGCAAGGCATTTTGCAGTGTGTTCAACATGAAACGTATTTAGTTTCGTTTGCCTAGGACAAGTAGTTACTCAGATATTCACATTTTAATTGATGTCAATGTTTAGGGGACTCCCTGTATATGTATTGAGGATATCCGGATAGTGTAATGATTAGAGACACAAAAAGGAAAGCAGGAAAACCGAGTTCGTTGCATTTACTTTCGCACAGATTCCTCAGAGAATGTTCTCTCATCGTTGGGTTAAGACTCAAAGCAAAACAGATATCTTTTTCCTTGGGGCGACACCGAATCCTGGAAAAATTCTGAATTAAAAAAAAAACAAAACATCTTGAATTAAAATGGGACATACTGATGAGAGATGGTTATTGACTAAATGTTTTGTCTTAGACACACTAATGTTGTTATAGCAACTCTACATGTGCTGCCATTAAGATCGTAATAGCCTACGGGGTTTGTGAAGATGATTTCCTCTCGTTTGTATTGCTTTCTGAAGAATACAATATTAATACTTAATATTTAATACTTAATACTTAGTGTCTTAATTTTTCTTTTTAAATATATAAACTTATACTGGGTGTGTGGTGGTATATCGTCAATGGTAATACTTTTGCGGCGATGAGGTCGACGCATCTTTACTCAGGTGAACTGTGATGCCGAACTGTACTGGTCCACGGTTTACATCTAACTCTCACACATGCCTCCAGGAAGTCGCTCGCATGGGCACTGTGACGACCACACCCTGGTCAACGGAATCGACCTGCCGGTTAAACTGTGTGACGATAGTCGGAAGCGTTTCCCGACCCGACTGGTGAAGGCGGACACTTCTCCTCAACCCACATGCGCGAAGCGGCCATAGGCCTCTTGCCAACCTGGGCGTAGTAGTTGCGTCTCAGAGGTTACTGGCTTTACCAGTGGGCGGGAAAACTTTTGAGAGGAGGGTCGACGTAACCTCAATATCCTCGGTGCAAAAAGAAATGGC